TAGATGTCAAATGCATTTTAGACAGAGTGTTTTGGTCCCTCACTGTTTTTTTCCTATGGTATGCAGAGTTTACTTTCTTGCTTCAGAAATGTGCTAAATTCGTGTATCTTATGTTGTGCTGAATATAATCTTTTTATGAAAATATTTTATGATAATCATATGAACAGCAACAAATAAAGATCATCCAGAGTTGAAACAGATGTTAGTCTAAACTTTAAAACTATTCTGGCAAAGGGATAAAGGATTCCTAAACTGTTTTCTGTGACAGGTCTGGTCAAAATGAACTTTGAAGTACTAGGGTCTTCTCTCTTCAAAAAGGAGAAGTTTATATGATCTGTGCAGTGTGTCCTCGCAAAAAATGATTGATAATACTAACAAATATCAGTGGATGTAGGAAAGAACTTTAGAAGAGTTTAACATGCTAGAACATACAAGCTATTTCTCAGCTTTGATGAGCATTTGTATTTTCTAAGCAGGTTGGTTTACAATGTCCCAAACTAGTACTTTTAACAATAGCTCCAGTAAAGTTAATAACGAGTTGTTGTTGGTTTGCAATGATGGATGCTTAATGTTGTAAAAATAACCGACTTTAGTTTATTCCCTTGGATGAACTCATTGTTGATGTATTTTGCTGTTTATAGAGCTAGACAGATGTAAATGGCTATTATTCTGGAGAAGCGTGTGCATAAATAATGCGCAGGATAGGTTAGAGATTGATGTTTATTCATTGCTCTGATTATAATGCTTGAAGTCTCATTAGACTTGCAGTTCAAAACCAGACTGCGTGTAGGTTCCATCAAAAGAAGAGTGCAGGATGAAATGCAGTAAAAAGATGTTCATGTTGCAGCAATATGAATGATCAAATATCTGTTCTCTTGGTACAAGAGTGTGACCTGTTTTGTTTGCTTGTGTAAGCCAGAAAAGTGCATGATACACCCCCTTTCTCCCTTGCACTGGTACATCATACTGCCACATCCAGCTTTGCACAGCAGCTACATTCCCCTCTCCCCCAATCTTGCATGGTGGATGGGCAGGGGACGGAGTCAAGACTCTACACCTCCTATCTCCACCAACACTCTCTGCAGCACCAGAGTGTGTGATAGACTGTGGTAGACCTGTTGAAATTTACTCCTTCAAAGCAGTGAGGAGACTTCTGGAGTCACCATCTCCCTCCCAGGCTGGGGCTTGATCATACTGCCACCATCTAAATCTTTGTTTAAATGTAATTGCAGTTCAGCTTTATGCATAGCCATACATCCAGGGTTGTTGTAAGACATGTCTAGGTCTTCTGGGATTAATTCAGCAAAGTGTTTTCTAATTCATTCAGAACAGATTATTTGGACCAATGGCCTGTTGATTTAATTATCTAGGGTATAACAGGACTTGAGTAGTACATCCTTGCAAACATTTTTCATACTGCTGTGGAAAATATGCAGTCTGAAGAAATTTTAAATCTCTCTCTTTCCCCTTATCATTGCTTTGGTCTGCTCCAGCATCAGAGAGTTTCCTGCTTTCCCACAGAAGGAAATTTCCTAGGCTGTAATCCTTTTTGAACTGAGATATCACAACATGAAAGAAAAGTTATCAATCTTTCTGTATTTCCCCCCCACCCCCTTTCTTGTTCTCATTAGACTTGACTGGATAGACTCTGCTGAAACTAGGACTTGAAGAACCAACATTGCTAGACCACGTGAAGCAGATATCAGGCCCCAATCACACTGCTCTACAGCCAAAATGCTTCTGAAATAAATGTAGTCAAACTTTACTAATTCTGGGTCACTGAGAAAGA